TTCTGCCACCTGCTGCATAAAGACCCTCCATAGGAAAGAATGTAACAGAATTTGTGTGCAATAGAAGGAAGGGGAGCAAAGACAATAGTTTGCAATTAAACACCCAAAGTTATCCATCCCTTCATGGGTAAATACCCAGTCAAACAGCGTTGGCCAAAAGCAGAGTCACTGAGGCTCCAAAACCAGCCGCAAGTCTAAGGTACCTTGTGGAGGGGACCCATAGGAAAGGGGCAGAAGGGGCCAGGCAAATATGGAAGGAAAGGAGCAAAATCAAAGTCCAAGTCAAGACTTTAGGTCTCTCTGGGGTCTCTGACCCACGTCCCTTCCAAGTGTATTTTTCCATGTCCCCCAAGTCCCTGGTAGAAGTTCAGGCTGAGAAGCAAACATGGCATCTTCACTTGTCTCTCTGCTCCATGTGCCTCCTCCAGGTCTTCAGTATCTGTTGACTTCTCTTCTAAGACTCCTTTTTATCTTCCCCTCACTGCTGAGCTCCACCCTTCATTAGAAGGGGCAGGGAACATGAAACATCCCTTTATATTATATTGTGACACTTGCTGTCTGGCACCTGCCTAGCTCTTTTTTGGTGGTTCCCTGCCAGAAGGTACCATAGATTTGTGGCAAGCTTTTCGGCCTCTATGGCTTCTTTGGGCCAAGCCTGTTTGGCTGGTTACTTGCCCACAAGAATGGGTATTTTTTTATTTTGGAGTTTTATTGGTAAATTATACTTGAAAGCCATTCCTTTTTCTCTTTATTCACACCAAGTCTATTAAAAATCTTTCACACTATGAGTTCTCTTTCCTTTGTCTTTGTGCATGTGGCTGCCAGGCCCCCTTTAGAGGGTACACCTCTTATCAGTTTAGGATCCCTGGGTATTCCTTGGTTATGTGCTAATAGTTACATTTGAATCAGGTCCACACTGGAGATGATACCATGGCCAGATGCAAGGTCATGAGCATGCAAGGTGGCCTACTTCAAGGCCTGTGCATATAGGTATTTGGACATGCATCTTCTATACTTAACCAGATGTTTGATGCCTTTCTGATTTTATGAAGTTGTTAAGTTTTCATGATTCTTCTATGTTTCACAAGACAGAACAATCTTGATGTTTCAGATGAAAAAAATGTAGGTAACCCTTATTTAACCTCTTTAATAAAAGCGATTTTTCTCAACAAACAGAATTTTATAGGCTTAGCACTGAATATAACTTCCTGCCTGCACACATGTAGCTATTCCTCACACAGTTCCCTTCTCTCATAGAGGGATAGAGAGAGCCCATAGAAAAATTAGGAGTCTTGGCAAATAAACTCTACTCTGCTATGAGTCAACTTAGTTTTCTACATTGAAACTTTAGTTTCATCTTTTACTAATTTCTCCCAACATTATTAATTCAAAATTTTCATTGCTGGAAATAAAATTCTTTCACGGACTTAGAAAAAGGATTAATGAATATGCTGGTTTTTCTTCATGTGGAAGGTATTCAGTAGTCTAAGGCACGATGGAGAATATAGTCATGACCACTACATGCATCCTATTCTCTAGGAGAGAAGGTCAGACAAAAATAACTGTACCAAGGGGCAGAAAGTATTAAGTGTCACACTAAAATACTATGGCAAAAATCATTCTCTGGGGAAGGGAGGGATAACATCAGGACATTCTCCATTTTCTGAAAAGGCTTTACAGGTAACTACTGGGCTGGACCTCTGAGGGCATGTTAGGATTTACATATGCAAAGAATGGGTTAGAGGTGTAGCATAACCAATCCTGAGCAAAATTATTAAGCTCTAGGGGACCTTCCATGGGTCAGTTTATTCCACTGATCTCTTTCACTCATTTGCCACTTGCTTTTAACATTTTTTTTAAAAAATAAAACTGGACCTCCCTGGTGGTGCAAGGGGTTAAGCACAGCACTGTGAAGCTATCCGCAGCCTGAGCAACACAAGTTCAAACCTGGCCAGCCAGGGAGCAACCCACAATGGCACAGCAGACCTCTCCTGACTCACCTGCTGCTCTCCTCAGCAGTGTATTTCAGTAGATAGGCCTGTTTTGTTCCCCACTCTGTCTCTGGTGAATCCTCTCACCTCTCGCATCTCTGGCCTGTACCCCAGTTCTTGTATGTATAAATAAATAAATCTTTAAAAAAAATTTAAAAAGCAAACTATCAATTAGGGTACTTTTTGGAATTCCATTTTCACTGCTCCCACCTTCTCCAAAGATATTCAAAAGGATGAGGACAGAGAGAGTGTTCCTGATTCTCCCTGTTTCTTGTTGTCTAGGCTCTTCTTTTTCAGGAATTTACTACTAATCATTATGGCCTATTATGAAAGTAATAAACATTAGATAATCACAAAGTTTTCATAATCATGAACAGGTTAATTTCTTTCTGAGATGGTAATTGAAAAGTTCCCTTGGACTAATGCTATTTGCTTTTGTTCTTTAGAGTTCACCAAACCTCTTCAGCCTTTATAATCTTGCCCCACGCCACTCTATAACCATGTAGGTGTGACTAACAATTTCTTCTTCACAAGTAGATCATTTACATTTATATGGGTCCTCTGAGTGGGAGACAATGGTTCCTACCTCTCCTTGGAAATCTGGATTTTGCAATTTGCAAGTAAAGGGCACTTTTGTAGGAGAGAACTTCACTGGTAGAAAGAGTTAGGATTTTGAAGAGAAGGAGCAGTGTCAAGGATCATTTCAATTGTAATTAGGGATAGAATACTGGCAGTGAAAAATGGAAGTCTCAGGGCCTCCCTGGTGGCACAAGGGGTTAAGACACAACCTATGGGACCTCCCTTGGTGGCGTAGGTGGTTGAGCACAGCACTGTGAAGCTGTCCGCAGCCTCTGCAGCACTGGTCTGATCCTGACCAGCTGGCGAGGGTCCCACATGGCACAGCAGACCTCTTCTGTCTCACCCGCTGCTCCCCTCAGCAGTATATTTCGTCAGTCTGCCTGTTCTGTTCCCTGCTCTGTCTCTGGTGAATCCTCTCACCCTCCCGTGCATCTGGCCTGTACCCCGGTTCTTATATGGATAAATAAATAAATCTTTAAAAAAAAAAAAAAAGACACGACCTATAGAGCTTTTCACAGCCACTGCAGCACAAGTTCGGTCCCTGGCCAGGGAGATATCCACATCACCTTGTTTCTCATCATTCCCCTGCACCTCTGCCCTGTATCCCAGTTCTTGTAAGTTGAGGAACATTATGGTAGATACCTCAGGCAAATTGGAGGCAAGACCTTTTGCAGGATTGAAAGTTCTGTGGGGACATGTACATGAGCAGAGCAAAAATAGGTTAGGTTTCGGAAAAGTCCCCTGGATAATGTTCCTGGATAAGTGTCCTGGATAATTACCCTCCTGAAGAGGAAAGGAATTCAATCAGTGAAGACCCAGTCAAGCCCAGAGAGCATAAACTTTTGTTGGAACAAAGCGATTTCTTAAACTTGCCCAGCAATGCTTGATGTACAGGAACAAGTTCCAAAGAAACCTTTCAACCTAATCTGAGAATTTTTTTTTAAAGTTCAGTGACATTTTAAGGGAATATAATTAATGGTGGATTTTAGTAATATTCAAACATGAAATACACAATATCAAAGCATCAAACATGTGATCTGAGAAAAACTCAAAAAGATATGATTATTGGAGTAAAAACATCAATTAATTCTTGCTTCCTTCTTTTCATGCTAGCCCAAGGCAAGAAAAAAAAAAATCTGTTGTTTTTTTCTTTTCATTGGGCACATCTTCTATTCATTCAAAATTAAAATAAAAAAATCACTGGCATCTTGCTAGTCCATTAAAAATATCTTATTAATAATTTGTACTTTGCCTTTTCTATTCTATTATAAACAAACACACACACACAAACCCTCATAAATTGAATGGATGCTGAACTGATTTCCATGATGGCAAGGCATCATGAGGCCTGCAGTTTCCTTACTAATTCTGGTAAAATTTAGGGGGATTGTTCTAGAACCTGTCAGCTGTCTTGTTCCAGAAGCTTAAAATGCCTAGGACTGTCAACCAAATATAAATTGTGAGAGATATTTTTCCATTCCATTCCATTGTTATCATGTTAACAATTATTATCTATTTTTGTAATATTTAGCTACATCAACATAAAAATTGCTAGCAAAGCATATTATCAAACTTAAAATTCAGGACATATGTAGTTTGTACACACATTAATCTGTTTATCTCAACAAAATATTTGTGATTGCCACACAATATGGTCCCTCCAATTTGGAGGACAGAAAGCATAGTATTCTCACTAAAAAAATTAGAATAAATATGGCAAAATCACCAAGAATAAACATACAAATAACAGTAGCTATATAACAATGAAATACAATGCTTAAAAGCCAGGGTTCATGAAGTCCTACTTTAACAGCCAACATCTATGAAAGTTGTTTACAAAAACTGGTTTTGACAAACTAGCATGAAGTATTTTATGTGAAAACAGGCTTGTCATTAAAGTTTTTGTGTGTACCGATTCCATGCCCCAGCCCCTCACTTGATCAAATTTAGAGATAAACTGGGAAATACTCAGACAACAAAATCCATCAACTGTAAACTAATTCCTATACACTCCTGTGCTAAATTTCAGAAAACAAGAAGCATTGACTCTGTCATCAGTGTTTTTCTTCACCCTGTAGCCTATTAGAGGAAAGAGCATGCACCTGTGAAACTCACAGTGCAGCGTGCACACACAGATGGGTGTTCAATAAGCATTTTTCATTGGAGGGTTTAGACGTTTGTTTTACGCAGCAGGGAACACACAACCTACGTGTGTTCCCTGCATCCACCATAGACTACATCAGCCTGTTTCTTTACCAAAGTATCACACAAAGGAACGCCTCTTTCAGCTACCTATACTTTCCAAGACCCAAATTTCTGAGGTAACGTGGGTAGCAGGGAATGGGGAGTGGTTGGGAACAATAAGTAGAGTTCAGGTAGACTAATGACGTCAGGAGGAAGCAGCGATTTAAGGCATGTGGTGTAACTCACCTGGAGAAGAAGCGGCAGCTGCACACTTGTCAGAGGTCAAAGGGCATGGCCTCAGGGGCTCCCCAGAAGCAGGAACCTCGAAGCGCCCACTCCTAGTCTCTTTCCTCGAAGAATTCCTTTAGAGGCTCAGCTGCTCCTGTGTTTGAGCCGGGGACCAGCCCTATCATGCACAGGCAGCGTAGACAGGGACGCAAAGCCAAAGCGGCCTCAAATCTTAGTTCCAGCGCCCGGGAACCCCCACATTTCAGCGCCCCTATTTCTTTCCCCCACATTCTCAGGCGCCCAAAGCCAGAAACACCTTCATCTTCAGTCCCCACCTCCTTTCGGCCTCTCACGCTTAACAGCATCGGTCTCTATGGCGACCTGAAACCCCAATTTCCATTGGCTCGTTCAATATGCGGGCCGGGCCAATGGAGCGGGCCAGCCTTCTGCTCCGGCCCAATGGGCTGGGCGCGGAGCGGGCCGGGACGGCGGCGTGCTGACGTTCCCGGGAGCCCGGGGCCGGCTGGGCAGGCGGCAGGCGGCCGGGCGGGCAGCGGCGGCGGCCTCGGGGCAGCAGAGGGGGCTCCGGGGCTGAGTCTGTCGACGCCGGCCGCGGCGGCGGCAGCATGGGCACGGGGTAGAGGGGCAGCCTGGCCGCCGCCGCCGCCCGGGGTGGTGGGAGAGCCGCCCGGGGGAGGGGGCGGGTGGGGGAGGGAGGGGCGGGCTGTCGCTCGGCAGCGGCACTTTTTTAATTTTTTCGGGTGCCGCAGCGGCCACCCCTCGGCGCCGATGTCCCCGATCCCCGGAGCTACGACGGCAGCCGCCTAACCTGGAAAGTAAGTGGTGGGCTTGGGGGCGGGCGCGCGGCTCCTGACCTCCAGCACCCCCGGCCCTCGCGCCGGAGCGGGGACCCGCGTGGGGGCCGGGGGGCGCGGGCGCGGGGGGCCGGCGCCTCCCTCCCGTTACTCCGTCCCCGCCGCCTCGCGGCCGCCTCGGCTTTCCTGCCCCGCCTCGTGTTCCTGCCCGCACTCGCCTGCCTGCTCCCCTCCCCCAGCAGGCGCACAAGTTTCACCCTCCATTTGCTTTTCGCGGCTATTACTCTCCCCGGGTCTCCCCTGCTCGTTGCGCACGACCCCTCCCCGCGTGGGCCTCCTACGATCCACAGCCCCCAGCCCCGAACTTGGGCTGCGCGCGGAGCCCTCTTGGAGATCTGCGGAGAGGCGGCTCCGCGCTCACCCGCCTGGCGCGCCGCCGGGCGCCCCCAGCACCCCGGGGCGCCCGCCTTCCCCGGCGCTCGGGGGCGTCCAGGCTCGGCCCTGGAGCCTGCGTCCTGGCCCCTTCCACTTCGTCCCACGCGCCTGCTGCCCACTAGGTCTAGCTTTTGCCCCCGGAGTCCCGCGCTCTTGCAGGTCCTGCCCTCCCCACGGGGTCCAGCGAGCGCGCTCTCCTCGCGGCGTCTCCTCGCGCTCCACCCTCCGGCTTCCCAGCCGAGCCTCCCGGCTGTTCTCCTGCGCCGCGGCTTCCTCCTCTCGCTGCCTGGAGTTGCGGCGGAGCTACGGCCCCCCGCTGGCGGATCGCGTGTCCCTGCCCGCCGCGGGGGCTGCACGACCCTCTCCCCTTTTTCCCCCCCTACGAGGGAGGCGAGAGGGCTGGCGGCGGGGCCGGGATTTGGCTTGGTGTTGGCTGAGTGCGACAAACAGCGAGCGCGGGCAGGGGAGGCGCGGCGGCTGCTCTGGCCGCTCGGGGCGCAGCGGTAGGCAGGTGTGTGTGTCCGGGAGGGGGTGGGGGGACGGGACGCGCGCGGCGGGCTCCTGGGCTGGCGACAGATTGTGCTGGAATGAGAGGAATGCACCAGGGGCAGAGTCCACCCGGCCCGCCCCTGCACTAGCGTCTTCCTGGCCCAGCTCTCAGCGCCGAGCCAGAGGTCACCGGAGCATCTTCAGAGCTGGTGAGCCCTGCTCCGCTCCTCTCCTGCTCTCGCCTCTCTGCATGCTGCGGAGAGGGCAGCAGGGGGAAAGCGCGGCAGTTCTGATGGGTTTAGCCTTTCGTCTGGATTTTGCTGCATTGGTCTCTAGGACCGTGAATTTGGGGGTGATGGCGGTGTGGCCAAGGTTATTGATCATTGCACAAGGTTTTTTTGCCAAGTTTGGTTTGTGAGGTGTGAATAGTGCCTGGTTTTTAGGAGGGTTTACTGAAAACCTGCAGGAAAGGGTGCGGAAGGTACTTGGAGTCATGAGCTGGAAGCCAGTGTATTTTAGCTCTATCAAAAAATGCCTGTAAATGCTCGCAGACGGAGATGTTCTGCAAGAGATCTTGAATGCATCACTTTGCTGTCATAAGACTTGTAATTTTTTCCCATCATACTGGACTGTGTTTAGACCGCTTATAATACATAATGAATAGAAACAGAGAAGCAGTGTTTGGTCAGTGATGGGACAGATAGAACTGTCTGGTACAGTTAAATTCGGGGCGTGTCAGTTACCATTGGAAGTAACACGGGAACATCACAGTTGTGTATATTTCAAGATTTATTGCTTGAGGATGCAGGGTTTTTTTTCTTATTTTGTTACTGAGTTTGACCGAAAAATCAAAGTCCTACAACTTTTAAAGAATGGAAGCTATTTATGTGTTAAGTCATTAATGCTGACTATCATTTGGGGTCATGTTTTATTTTCTTGAGTGCAGAAAAGCAAATTTTTGATGGAATGTGCTTCTCTGGAGTTGGGCTTAAATTCTTTTATTTCAAAAAGGGAAATGCTTTTCCTTTTGAATGCAGTAATTGCCATAGAGGTATCTACATTTTTGGTGCCTGTGAAACAGTTATGGAAAATGGCAACATGGAAATGAAACCAAGTGATGTTCAAAATAAGCGTTTCTGGATGCTGAAAAGCTTTTATTGACAGTTTGCTTTAGAGGTTGAGCTTATTATAATTCTTTCTGCACTTTTTTACTTTGTATCAGATTCAGGAAAAATTGTGAGTTGACCGTCTTGTTTGCTTTCTATGATCAAGGGCATTGAAAAGTGTGAGATTAACCCCTTTTATTTAAGGACTTAATGGAAAGAAATAGAGGAGGGGAAAAAACTTTGCACTGGGAAGGTTATGTCTTTTGCTATATTATTTTCCAGATATGTCTATGATCTATGGACCTAACTTAGAAATTTGAGTCTAGATTAGTGTTAGTAACACTGTGTAAGATATTGGGTGGTATTTGTAGATGCCAACATGGAACTTATTATATAACAATATGATATTACAGCAGAGTTTACATGCGCTTCATGTGAAACTTAAAAAGTAAAAACACATACTTTCCCTGCTACATTAGAAAATGAAATAACTTGTTCTATTATATAGAAAATATGTACATGATTGACTGCTAGTAGTTTTTCCTTCTTCATGTAATGGTAGGCTGTCAGTTAAAAATACTTTGTATTTGTTATAGATATTTGAAGACAAAAAGGCTAAAGCTGGTGATCATTCACAATAGAAAATAACATAACATAGCAGGAATCTAGAAAACCTAAAAAAGGGAACAGGAAAAAGAATAACTATAAGAAAGAAAATATCAAAATCAACAAACAACTATGAACCAGAGACATTCTATGGGGGGTGGGGGGGCAGGGAAAGGAGGGATGGGGTCAAAATAAGGGGGTTGTAATTGTATGGGGAATATAAAAATAAAATTTAAATTAAAAAAATAAAAAAAGAAGCAATGAGCACTTAAAAAAAAAAAGAAAATAACATAATCTGTGTTTTAACCAAAGTACATTCCCTCTCCAACCCCCACTATTATATAGGAAAAAGGTACTTCAATTTCATGTCTTACTTCTTTAATGAAAATTTTACATTGGAGAACTAAGTGTCCAGCTCTGTTAATTCCTACCTACACTGCAGAGTGATAGGGGAGTAGGGTGGTGATGAAAAGCACAGGAGAAGGTCAGAGGAAACTAGGAGCTGGCATTTATCCAGAAAAAGATACATTATTATATATTTTACATATATAAGGATGTTACATATTTATACATGTTACATGTGTTAATGACTATATTTGCAAGTTGAATAGACCAAATTTTTTTTAATAGTTCTGATGTAATTTGAACTTAAAGCAACAACTCCCAAATTCAGTTTAATAAAAACCTTAGCAATTGTATGACCTTGAGTATTTAGATTTAACCTTATATTAACTTAGGATCACTCTTGTCTTTATTTTCTAAACTATGTAATAGGGAAAGTGACTTAATTTAAAGCTTTGGAATTGACTTAATTTTTTAAAAATTCAGTTATTTCCAGTTTTTACACCAAATGATTTTCATGTTGTAGACCAGTGATCTGTTTTCAATAGAGACTTAATACTGTGGGCAATACCAACTATTTGGTAAATCAATACCTCACGTATGTACTGCTTTGAAATTAAAATATTTTGAGAATGCTCTGTAATCATAGCATTTTTTTCTATTTCAATCAAAGGTAAATCTATAACCTATATAATTCTAAAGAGGACATTTTACCTCATTCTTAACTGGAAGGTAAAGTTAGAGGTTATTCTAGGGCATAAACACCCATGAAATTTTATGTGAATTTTGGAAGTTGCCTCCAGACCTCTGCTGTACTGGGAGGTAATTACTTTAGTGTGTTAAATGTTTTGTAGTGCCTTTCCTACACTGAAGAGGGGAGAATCTGAAACACACCACAAGTGGACTAGATATGTTTGGAAATTTAAGTACCGTTTCATGCCAAACTGTAATTATAAATGCTGCAAACAGAGAGAGGAAGTAAAACTTTAAGCATATCTGAATGTGAGGCTTTATTCACTACCTGTAAATGATGTAGTAGCAAGCAGATCAGTTTGAGTACCAGCAGAAGAACTGACTTTACATTTAGGGGATCAGGCCCTAAGTCACACAGAGCAATAATTCACATGCTCTTGGTTTCATTTGAGAAGTTGTATAACATTGGGATGTTTCTTCTATTGTCACTTTAATAATTCAGTGGAATTATCTTTAATCTTTTGGGGCTGTGTTACTGTATCTAAATTGGGGTTATTACGTGATGGTATTTTTCAGTTAAACTGTGAAATGCTATAAACATCCTATTTGCCATTATCTAAGTTGTTTTTCTTTTATAATTTGGATTTTCTTTTATTTGGTATACTGATAAATGTTGACTACATTGCTGATTGTTTTGTATTCACAGCTATGATAATATCACTTATTATAACTCATGATTGATTGCAGATAATAAAATGTCATTGGATATTGGAAAATAAATTTCTATTACTGTGAAATATGTAAATTAAAGTATGGAATTGTCTGCTTATTTTAAGCCAAGTGAAGCATTTTTCATGAACCAAATCATGCGTGATAAGTTGGTAGATGCTAATCC